ACATCAGTCATCATTCATCAGTCATTCACCATCATCATCAATCATCATCAGTCATCATCATCAGTCATCATCTTCATCCTCAATCATCATCATCATCAATCATCATTTTCATCATCAGTCATCATCAGTCATCATCATCATCATCATCAGTCATTAATCATCATCACTCATCATCATCGTCATTGTCATCAGTCATCATCATCAATCATCATTATCATCATCATCATCAGTCACCATCATCATCATCATCATCAATCATCATTAATATCATCATCATCATCATCAGTCATCATCATCAGTCATCATCATCATTCAATCATCATCAATCATCATCAATCATCATCAATCATCATCATCAATCATCATCAGTCATCATCATCATCATCATTAACCATCATCATCAATCATCATCAATCATCATCAATCATCAGTCATCATCATCATCAATCATCATCAGTCATTATCATCATTCATCATCAATCATCATCATCAGTCATCATCATCAATCATCAGTCATCATCATCATCATCATCAATCATCATCAATCATCATCAGTCATTATCATCATTCATCATCATCAATCATCATCATCAGTCATCATAATCATTCATCATCAGTCATCATCATCATCATCATCAATCATCATCAATCATCATCAGTCATTATCATCATTCATCATCATCAATCATCATCAATCATCAGTCATTATCATCATTCATCATCATCAATCATCATCATCAGTCATCATCATCAATCATCAGTCATCATCATCATCATCAATCATCATCATCAATCATCATCAGTCATCATCATCAGTCATCATCATCATCAATCATCATCATCAATCATCATCATCAATCATCATCAGTCATCATCATCAATTATCATCATCATCAATCATCATCATCATCAATCATCATCAATCATCATCAGTCATTATCATCATCATCATCAATCATCATCAATCATCATCAGTCATTATCATCATTCATCATCATCAATCATCATCATTCATCATCATCAATCATCAGTCATCATCATCATCATCATCATCAATCATCATCAGTCATCATCATCAATCATCATCAATCATCATCATCAATCATCATCATCAATCATCATTAGTCATCATCAATCATCATCAATCATCATCATCAGTCATCATCATCAGTCATCATCATCAGTCATCATCAGTCATCATCATCAGTCATCATCATCAATCATCATCATCATCAATCATCATCAATCAATCATCATCATCATCAATCATCATCATCAATCATCATCAGTCATCATCAATCATCATCAATCATCATCATCAGTCATCATCATCAATCATCATCATCAATCATCATCAATCATCATCATCAGTCATCATCATCAATCATCATCAGTCATCATCATCATCATCAGTACCATGTGTGTGCCCTCAAAACCACTGTAAAAAAATATATAGCAAAGTCTATATGCCACTACTATATTATAATTATACGGTGATGGTATTGAGCTATTTCTTGATTATTGGTTATACAGCGGCAGTGAGGAAATTGTACAATTTGGATTTTGAGCACTTTTTTCGGTGAAATTTTCCCCCGGGTTTCGTACATCATCTAGGAAATCGACGGTACCAGACGTGTCCATCTGGGCCGCTCATACGTTCATGACTCACTCTTGGGCACATTAAATGTCTTATTTTACGTTAATAGACATTTTCATTAATCCATCTATGATATTTTCTTCAAAATTATGTAAGAAACACGTTACATAGCATATAAACATGCAGTGTTTATATGCAATGTATGTTTAATAATACTCACTCCTGGGCACATTAAATGTCTTATTTTACATTAATACAGTGGACCCTTTAATTTTGTCCCCCATGAATATCATGAATTTTGGAAATCGGCGACTTTTTTCGTCAAAATATTGGCTGGATTTTCATGATTTGGCTTAGAAAATGGCGGTCGTATGAAACACCTTCTGGTAATGGACATTGCTCCTGCTCATCCTCCAGACTTGGAAAAGCAGATGGTGAAGGAGTTTAGTTTCATCACAGTGAAGTTCTTGCCCCCTAACACCACTCCTCTCCTCCAGCCCATGGACCAGCAAATCATTTCAAACTTCAAAAAAACCAAAGCAATGTTTCAAAGGTGCTTTAACATAACCTGGGACTCTGGAAATATCACTTCAATATCCTCCATTGCATAAACATTATAGGTAAGGCTTGGCAGGGAGTGATTTCTGAGATGATGAACTCTGCTTGGAGAAAATTGTGGCCAGATTGTGTCCTCAACAAAGATTTTGAAGGGTTTGAGGCTGACCCTGACATCCCTATGCCAGTTGTAGAATCTATTGTGGCATTAGGGAAGTCATTGGAGTTGGAGGTTAGTGGCGAGGATGCGGAAGAGTTGGTGGAGGATCACAATGAAGAGCTAACCACTGAAGAGCTGCTAGACTTTAATCTGCAACAGCAACAGACCACACCTCAGGAAATTGCTTCAGAGGAGGAGGAAGAGAGAGGGAAGAAGTTGCTTTCTTTAGATTAAGGAAATGTGTGCAATGTGGACTAGGATGGAAAGATTTGTGGAGGAACATCACCCTGACAAAGCTGTTGCAGGCCGTGTATGCGACATGTTCAATGACAGTGTCTTGTCTCATTTTAGGCAAATTTTAAAGAAATGCCAGAAACAGACCTTTCTGGAACAATTTTTTGAATGACAGGGGTCCAGTGACTCTCAAGCTGGTCCTAGTGGCATTAAAAAAAAAAAGAAGGGAAGTAACCCCAGAAAAGGACTTGGTACCTGAAGTCTTTATGGAAGGGATTACCCTTCCAAACAATAGTAACTCTTCCATCCTCTCCCATCCTCCCATCTTCTTCACATCAACAGTTCTTCAATAAAGGTAAGTGTCAAGTTATTATTGTTTTATTCTTCATGTCTCATTGTTTTCTGTGTAGATAAATGTACATTTAATGTAAAAAAAATATTTTTTAATACTTTTGGGTGTCTGGAGCTGATTAATTTGATGTACATTATTTTTTATGGAGAAAATGGTTTTGAAAATCGTGAATTTTGAATTTCAGCAGACTGGAACGAATTAATCACGAAATTCAAGGGTCCACTGTATAGACATATTCATTTATCTATCCATGATAATTTCTTCAAAATTATACTACATATATAAGAAACACATTACATACCATATAAACATGCAATGTTTATATGCTCTCGAGAGTGGTGTCGGGTGGAGGGTCAACATTACATTTTCTCTGGTCCAGCTTCAGAGAAAATGTGTATGAATCTGCATTGGTCTGGTAACCGCCCTTAATAGTACATAAGGCTTTTGTTTACAATTCTCGGCATGAATTATTCATTACTTCTCCCTTTGTTTATGATGACATCTACAAGTAGTTGTTAGAAATGATTAAACTCAGTGAACATGATATGTCGATGGTAATAATATGGCTGTAGGCAGCAGTGTATATAGTCGGTAGGTATACACTGGGATGTAGTCCCTCTGGGACTACAAATAAATACTACTCACCAGCAAGAGTCTTCAATAAAGGTATGTAACGTTCATTTATCCTAAAATTAGTCATTTATATTTATTTTTCATTGTTTTCTGTATGTAAAACTATAGTTATTCTCTATAAAATGTATTTTTTTGTTAATATTTTTGGGTGTCTGGAACGAATTAATTGGATTTACATTATTTCTTATGGGAAATATTACTTCTGTTTTCAGTCATTTTGGATTTTGCCCAACCCTCTGAAATGAATTAATTACAAAAACTGGGGGTCTACTGTAATAGGTATTAGTCTGAATATGCATGAGATATTATAATACATCTATAAGTAGGTTAAAACTGTGTGATTTAATGTAATTCATTGCATATTATTATAATTTATCCATAACTACGTTATATCTGTATTATTTAATGTAATTCACTGTCTGACGCATGGGAAGTCTGTCTGTCAGTCGGTTCAGAGATTAGATTAGATTAGATTTTGCCACTGAAGTGGCTAGTTTATTGTGCACCCCGTATCCATCCTGTGGACGGTAGCGCGAGAGCAGATGGATACACAAAAGGCCCTGGAGCTAGGCCCCTGAAGGGTTACAGGTGTTCATTTAGTTTTATATCCACAGTTCACTTATCTGTTACAAGCAAATTTAGGAAATTTGCTTAGTATATCTGGTATCTTATTTTCATTAATAAGATATCTTGACATGTCACATAGGTTATTATACTGTCTGTCTGTGTTCCTCAATAAGTGGACAATTAAGCACATAGTGTTCAAGACAGTGACCATATGTCTGACCACATAATTTACATTTAGTTTGATCATCATCTGTGTGTCTCCCAAACTGCCAGAAGTACTTGTAACCAAGCCTAAGTCTGGCCACTACAACATCAGTCAGTACTTGTAACCAAGCCTAAGTCTGGCCACTACAACATCAGTCAGTACTTGTAACCAAGCCTAAGTCTGGCCACTACAACATCAGTCAGTACTTGTAACCAAGCCTAAGCCTGGCCACTACAACATTAGTCAGTACTTGTAACCAAGCCTAAGTCTGGCCACTACAACATCAGTCAGTACTTGTAACCAAGCCTAAGTCTGGCCACTACAACATCAGTCAGTACTTGTAACCAAGCCTAAGCCTGGCCACTACAACATCAGTCAGTACTTGTAACCAAGCCTAAGTCTGGCCACTACAACATCAGTCAGTACTTGTAACCAAGCCTAAGCCTGGCCACTACAACATCAGTCAGTACTTGTAACCAAGCCTAAGTCTGGCCACTACAACATCAATCAGTACTTGCAACCAAGCCTAAGCCTGGCCACTACAACATCAGTCAGTACTTGTAACCAAGCCTAAGCCTGGTCACTACAACATCAGTCAGTACTTGTAACCAAGCCTAAGCCTGGCCACTACAACATCAGTCAGTACTTGTAACCAAGCCCAAGTCTGGCCACGACAACATCAGTCAGTACTTGTAACCAAGCCTAAGCCTGGCCACTACAACATCAGTCAGTACTTGTAACCAAGCCTAAGCCTGGCCACTACAACATCAGTCAGTACTTGTAACCAAGCCTAAGCTTGGCCACTACAACATCAGTCAGTACTTGTAACCAAGCCTAAGCCTGGCCACTACAACATCAGTCAGTACTTGTAACCAAGCCTAAGTCTGGCCACTGCAACATCAGTCAGTACTTGTAACCAAGCCTAAGCCTGGCCACTACAACATCGGTCAGTACTTGTAACCAAGCCTAAGCCTGGCCACTACAACATCAGTCAGTACTTGTAACCAAGCCTAAGCCTGGCCACTACAACATCAGTCAGTGTTCACATTGCATGTTGCTCCATAAACATACTTATCTACGTTCATGTTATCATAGTGGGTTATAAATCTACTCAGGCTTCTAACTGCATTCCTATAACAATCATTATTGTTATTTACTTCTCTCCTAATATTATTCCTAATGCTAGACACAGTTATACCAAAGTTATATTCTACATTCTCCTTCTGGATACTCTTCTTGGCTAACATATCAACTTTATCATGAAGGAGTAATCCAATGTGTGATGGGATCCGTAGCAATTGTACATTAATTCCTTTTTCCCGGATTTTTGAGTATCCATGCTTGGCTTCTCCAATGAGCATGTTATTGGAGTCATTATTTGAGTCAAGATCCTTCAATATTGACATGGAATCAGTAATGATGATAGAGTCAAGCTCAGTGTCATAAGTTAGCTTTAGCGCCATTAGGATCACAAACACTTCAGTTTGCAGTGTAGACGCCCATTTGTTAATTCTTGTGCTTAACTCAACAAATTTATTATCGTTCTTAACTAGGGAGGTGGCAACAAGAGCAGATGCAGCCCTGCCAGAAGACTCCTGTTTAGATCCATCAGTGTATATAACTTGTGATAACTTATTACAGTGGACCCCCGGTATTCGATATTAATCCGTTCCTGAGAGCTCATCGAATACCGAAAATATCGAAAACCGAATCAATTTTCCTCATAAGAAATAATGGAAATCAAATTAATCCGTGCAAGACACCCAAAAGTATGAAAAAAAAAATTTTACTACATGAAATATTTAGTTTAATTCAATAGAATAATTACAATAATAATGAAATAATTGACACTTACCTTTAATGAAGATCTGGTGATGATTGATGTGATGGGAGGAGGGGAGAGGTGTTAGTGTTTAGAAGGGGAATCCCCTTCCATTAGGACTTGAGGTAGCAAGTCCTTTTCCGGAGTTACTTCCTTTCTTCTTTTAATGCCACTAGGACCAGCTTGAGAGTCACTGGACCTCTGTCGCACAACATAACTGGCAGCCTCACCATGCCTAATCACACTATGTATACCACTACGATTCTTAAATCTTTCAAACCAACCTTTGCTGATCTTAAATTCACTCACATCAGCACTAGTTGCAGGCAATGTCTTTACCAAATCGTCATGCAACTGCCTAGCATTTTCACAAATGATCGCTTGAGAGATGCTATCTCCTGCTATCTGTTTTTCATTTATCCACACCAATAACAGTCTCTCAACATTTTCTAACACTTGCAGTCGCTGTTTTGTAATCACAGTTGCACCTTTTGCAAGAACAGCTTCCTTGGTTTCCGTTTTCCTGGTCACTATAGTAGAGATGGTTGACTGGGGTTTATTATACAACCTGACCAGCTCCGACACACGCACTCCACTTTTGTACTTTGCAATTAGCTCTTTCTTCATTTCAATAGTCATTAGCGCCTTTTTTCTCGAAGGGTTGGTACTAGAAGCTTTCTTGGGGCCCATGGTTACTTACTTTGCAGAAAGAAGCACCAAAAACAGTGATAATATGGAATGTACCGAATGTATCCTTAGATGCGTGCGCACTGGCTGGCTTGTAAACACTGGCACACACGGGGCAGTTCAGGCCACACGTGGACACGTCTCATACGAATCGTATCGAATACCGGGTTTTCAATTGGATACCAAGGCAAAATTTTTGCGATATAATACTGTACATCGAATACTGGATTTATCGAATACCGATGCCATCGAATACCAGGGGTCCACTGTACTACCAGCTAGGCCAGAAATTTCTTCTTGAGCAGTTGCTTTAACAAGTGATTTAAGAAAGGGATTACTAGCAATGAGCTCCTTGGGAGGGACTTGTAGGTATGTGATATTAAATGAACACATCTTCCACGGAGGTGTGAAATGCTCTTGTTGCCTACAGTGATACAGTTCATGTAGGTTATAAAACTTAATATAACTGCATGTTTTCAAAATTCATTTAGATCTGTGTGTATTTACTTTTATACATTTAGTAAGATTCATTGTGACAGAGTCTGGTTCATTACTTAACATTGTAATACCGAATATGGTGTTAATTTCAACAATCCTATCACTGATACTAGAAATACCAAGCTCCTTCCTCATATTAAGAACCTTTGTAGATTTGGGACAGCCAAGAATAATTCTGAGAGCTTCATTTTGCATTAACTCCAAAGGTCGGAGAGAACTTTCTCTAGCTAATATCAGCATGGGAGCAGCATAATCAGTTAAGGTCCAACATAGGCTATGTACATCATTCTCACGATTCTCACATTAGCACCATAGTTGGGGTTGTAGCCAGCAACATTAGCACCATAGTTGGGGTTGTAGCCAGCAACATTAGCACCATAGTTGGGGTTGTAGCCAGCAACATTAGCACCATAGTTGGGTTTGTAGCCAGCAACATTAGCACCATAGTTGGGGTTGTAGCCAGCAACATTAGCACCATAGTTGGGGTTGTAGCCAGCAACATTAGCACCATAGTTGGGGTTGTAGCCAGCAACATTAGCACCATAGTTGGGGTTGTAGCCAGCAACATTAGCACCATAGTTGGGGTTGTAGCCAGCAACATTAACACCATAGTTGGGGTTGTAGCCAGCAACATTAACACCATAGTTGGGGTTGTAGCCAGCAACATTAGCACCATAGTTGGGGTTGTAGCCAGCAACATTAGCACCATAGTTGGGGTTGTAGCCAGCAACATTAGCACCATAGTTGGGGTTGTAGCCAGCAACATTAGCACCATAGTTGGGGTTGTAGCCAGCAACATTAGCACCATAGTTGAGGTTGTAGCCAGCAACATTAGCACCATAGTTGGGGTTGTAGCCAGCAACAACTTTGAGAGCATTTAGCCTGTCTTTGCATTTCTTATTTAGTTATGGTATGGTGGATTTATTAAAGGGTACATCTTCACCAAGGTATTCAAAGCTGTTGTTAAAATGGGTTTATTTCCCTAATGTAATTGAAACAGCAGTACGATATGTCAAACAATACCAGCTAGTTCACCTGTCTCTGTTCTTCTGGTCTTCCTTTAACTGTGTCATTGTTCTTCTTTCAGTCTTACCTCAACTGTGTCGCTGTCTTCTTCCGGTCATTCCGCATCTCCCATAGAAAATTTATTACACATCTTGTTCCATTGTATTTCTACTATAGCAGAGTAACCTGCTGTATTTTTCATCTCTCTTCAGTCACTCCACGAAACTAAAGATCATTGAATCAATCTAAAATAACAAATTATACTTTTAAAATTATACCATTTGTTCATTAGCTACCTTTCTTATTGTATATATGATTGTAGCCATTGAATAAAAAATCCAACTCAATAATCTGTGTCTAGTTCTTAAATAGTTTTTAAGCATTAGTGTCAGCATAGTTGCTGATCCCGTATATGTTATGTCATCTATGTATCCCCCGACAACATTAGAATTAGTTTGCCTGAAATGCTTTTCCTACTTGTGGCTTTCTTTTGTGCCTACTAGTGTCTAATTACATGTAAGCTACTTTGTTTTGTACTGCATAAAGTAATCAAAATTTGTATTTGTAAGTACAGCCTCTCCTCACTTAGTGACGTACTCATTTACCGACGACTCAGATTTACGATGGGCTCTCTGACCAGTACGCATACCTAAATAATGTATATTAGAGCTGATTTCCTCTATTCTGTTTATTACAATATACAGTACACTACTGTATAAACTTTTAAAAATATACCAGAAACATTATAAATGGTGCAAAGGTGACATTAACACAATATCAAAGATGGTCGACACAAATTCACTACCATTATAGTATACTCCTCACTTAGCGATGAATTTGTTTATCAACGTGATCTTAGGAACGGAACTCCATCGTTAAGTGAGGAGAGGCTGTATAGGTTTGATGGTTGCATAAGTGAGTGCGAGTTGGGCCTGCCTAGCATGGGCCAATAGGCCTACCACAGTGCTTTGTCATTCCATTCTTATGCTCTAATGTTCTTATAAGAACTGTACAATATACATGTACAGCTGCTTCTCGACAAACAATGGTTTGACTTACGATATTTTAACTTTACAATGGTGCAAAAGCAATTACACCTACCATCCGACTTACGACCTGCTCGACTTACGACCACTCGACTTACGACCGTGTTTTTTATGCCAAATTTCTGGGAAATAAACAAGTATTTGTGTTGTACACAGTGTTTATCCTAAACCTTACAGTATAAAATACAATACTAACAACATAAAAAGTAAAGTAAAACATGAAATACCAAAATAAAACAATAAAATAAAGTCATTACAAAAATGTTTTGTTGATATTCAGTAGTAAAGTTCGACTTACGACCATTTCGACTTACGACCGGTTTCTCGGAACCGAACTCAGTCATAAGTCGGATGGTAGGTGTACTTTGGAGATGAAACATAAGACAATTACCCAGCATGAAGATGGCAAGTCCCCAACTTGTATTTATTTATTTATTTTTTGATACTGGTATTTAGTTACAGTAATTATTTGTTCATTTATTTATTCAGTGACAGTTACAGTATTTATTTACTTATTTATTTAGCACATATTCGACTTACTATATTTTCAACTTACGAAAGTGATGGTGCACTTGTATTTTTTTTTAAGGATACAATGCTTTCCTGACTCAATTTTTTCCCTAGTTGGATATCCTCGCACACTGCCATCATGACGGAAAAATACCTCTTCAACCAGACTGGGATCGTGGAAGAGATCTTCCTGCCAGGAAAAGCCATCCTGACCTTTGCTCTGCACAACAAGGCCCAGCGAGTGCTGCTCTGGGTCAAAGGTTTTGTCCATCAGGTATGTCTTCACTCTCAGGAGAGTTCTTGATCTGAGGAATTGGAGCTCTCTTCCCTTTCCTCAGGTCAAGCTAAGCAACAGCATGTTCTTCAGGGGTTTAGCACCTCTGGCAAGACAGTGATAGTGTGAATGATGGTGAAAGTGTTTCTTTTTTTGGGTCACCCTGCCTTGGTGTGAGATAAGGTAAGATAATATAAGATAAGATTTCGTTCGGATTTTTAACCCCGGAGGGTTAGCCACCCAGGATAACCCAAGAAAGTCAGTGCGTCATCGAGGACTGTCTAACTTATTTCCATTGGGGTCCTTAATCTTGTCCCCCAGGATGCAACCCACACCAGTCTACTAACACCCAGGTACCTATTTGCTGCTAGGTGAACAGGACAACAGGTGTAAGGAAACGTGTCGAAATGTTTCCACCCGCCGGGAATCAAACCCGGGCCCTCCGTGTGTGAAGCGGGAGCTTTAGCCACCAGGCCACCGGGCCACCGGGCCACCTGGTGGCCGGCACATTAAAAATTATAACAATCATTCAGAATTAGAAATTTATTAAACTTGCTTTTTTGTTTTTTAAGCACATCTTTTGTTACCCACAAAGTTAGTGACCCATTATTCTTTTAATATTAGACTTCTTTTTGAAGAATAATGACGACTGATTCACTTTTCGTCACAATAAGAGATAGCCACTAAGTCCTCAGTGGATTGTTTTCAGTAACTTGACGGTTAATGGTTGATAGCCATAAGATTATTATTGGTGAAAATAAATGGTATAAAATACCAACACAATGGAAACATAAACACATATGCAGTTTAATGTGATCCTTTATTGACAACGTTTCGCCCACACAGTGGGCTTTCTCAAGTCACAAACAGATCTACCTGATCGTACCTTCCACCCCAGGTAGATCTGTTTGTGACTTGAAAAAGCCCACTGTGTGGGCGAAACGTTGTCAATAAAGGATCACATTAAACTGCATATGAGATTATTATTGGTATTTTCACAATTATGGATGATAGACCTACTGAACAAGAAAGTCGTTCTTTGTTAGACATGGACTACAGTTTGATTTACAACGTAACAGTTGTTTAACTAAAGCCAGGTGTACATTAATTGTTACAAAAATACCTTGAAAATCTGTGTAAAGTTAAGCAAATTTTTCATTGATATACTGTATTGTCTAAATAATTTATGCCGATCTAAGAATATGTATATGTGCAGTATATTTGTACTACAAGCAAGTAGAGGAATGTCCATTTCTTGTCAGTAGGTCAGGATATTTTGATGTTTTAAGCATTACAATGCAGGGTTATATCTGTGTGCATTGTACATGTACTCTTAGAACTAAAGATTATTATTATTATTATTATTATTATTATTATTATTGTTATTATTATTATTATTATTATTATTATTATTATTATTATTTTTTTTTTTCATTATTATTATTATTATTATTATTATTATTTTTTTCATTAATTATTATTATTATTATTATTATTATTATTTTTTTCATTATTATTATATTATTATTATTATTATTATTATTATTTTATTATTATTATTATTATTATTATTATTATTATTATTATTATTATTTTCATTATTATTATTGTTATTATTATTATTATTATTATTATTATTATTATTATTATTATTATTATTATTTTCATTATTATTATTATTATTATTATTATTATTATTATTATTATTATTATTTCATTATTATTATTATTGTTATTATTATTATTATTATTATTATTATTATTATTATTATTATTTTCATATTATTATTATTGTTTATTATTATTATTATTATTATTATTATTATTATTATTATTTTCATTATTATTATTATTATTATTATTATTCATTATTATATTATTATTATTATTATTATTATATTATTATTTTCATTATTATTATTATTGTTATTATTATTATTATTATTATTATTATTATTATTATTATTATTTTCATTATTATTATTTTATTATTTATTATTTTCATTATTATTATTAATTATTATTATTATTATTATTTATTATTATTATTATTATTATTTTATTATTATTTTCATTATTATTATTATTATTATTATTATTATTATTATTATTATTATTCCAGGGTAAGAACCTTGACAAATCAGACACATTTGCTGGCAAACTTCGCATTGGTGAACGGATACACTTCGACTGTCATGTTTATGACAAGGTGAGACATTACAGGTGTGAATCACAATACAGAGATAAACTGCACACAGGAGAGAGAGAGACAGACAGACAGACTTATGATGACATATTGATCCAATTTGGAACATTTACAAGTCCCGATGTGACTTGTAAATGGTCCAGTCAGACCAAACGTTGTCACAAACTTCCTCTCCGTGTGCAGTTTTTTGTGTATTGTCCAGTCAGGTATTGTGTATTTTTGTTCTTTATGGATCACATTCTGATTACACTTATCCTTATCTCTGAAATGTTGTTAAAACATTAAATTTTTTGTTATATTCAATTGCTAGCTTTTTTTTTTTGTTAATAATTTTGCCATAAAATTTTTTCATGGAGTAAATTGAACTACAGTTAGTAAGTTTTTGAAACTTCTGCCCATTTACCGATTTTATAGAGTTGAGATGACTACTTTTTCTCACCAAATAAGTCCGAAAATTTATCAGCATCTTTAGAACTGTAGTACCATTTATCTTTTATTTTTATTTTTTTTAATTTAACAGTCAGAATTGGGGGCGTCCTCGACACAGGAGCATCTAGTTCATTGTAAAATACGATAACCTTAATACACACAGTAAGTCCTTGACTTGCAGACATGTTGAGAATCTGATGTAATGTGCATAATATCATTATTATTATATCATTATTATACACAATGCAGAAGGTCCTCAGTGTGTTCGTAAGTTGAGGATTTCTGTATTGTGAATATTATACATATTATAGATAGGAGCAAATGGAGACAAATGGTTTTTAGGACTTGACGTGCTGTTGGAGTGTGAACAAAGTAACATTTATGAAGGGGTTCAGGGAAACCGGCAGGCCGGACTTGAGTCCTGGAGATGGGATGTCAGTGCCTGCCTTGAAGAGGGCTGTTAGGGGTTTGCAGTTAAAAATGTAGTGTAAAGCACCCTTCTGGCAAGCAGTGATGGAGTGAATGATGGTGAAAGTTTTTCTTTTTCGGGCCACCCTGCCTTGGTGGTCCACCCTGCCTTGGTGGTCCACCCTGCCTTGGTGGTCCACCCTGCCTTGGTGGTCCACCCTGCCTTGGTGGTCCACCCTGCCTTGGTGGTCCACCCTGCCTTGGTGGTCCACCCTGCCTTGGTGGTCCACCCTGCCTTGGTGTGGGTCCACTGCCTTATGGGAAGAATACACATTTAAAAGATATCCTCAGGATTAAGTGAGAATTCTGTACTGTAGAAACTTGATAGGGTGACTAGTGGGGTGCCATAAGGATCAGTGCCTGCTTTAACAGTCTTATTAATTTATTTAAATGATTATAGTCAATAAATGTGATAAAAAGTGTTTAACTGTGACCTTTGGTGAATGAGACACTTGTACAACACTTCGGTGTCTTTATTTTGGAAGTAGTTCACTGCCAGTGGCTTCCTCAGTCCAATACAGAGAATGGTGGAGGATGAGAAGGAGTTTGAGGTAATTAGTCCCTTAGCCTGGCATTCATGTTATCAGATTGATGGACTGATGACATCAACTCCCAACTGAGGGACAGATCACCTCAGACTCTGTCTGACCTTTCACCATTCTTTCCTGTACTGGACTGAGGAAGCCACTTGCTGGCTAAATGTTTCCACAATTAAAATATCCAAATACACCTGCCATCCGACTTATGACCTGCTCGACATACGACCATTCGACTTACGACCGTGTTTTTTATGCCTAATTTCTGGGAAATAAACAAGTATTTGTGTTGTACACAGTGTTTATCCTAAACCTTACAGTATAAAATACAATACTAACAACATAAAAAGTAAAGTAAAACATGAAATACCAAAATAAAACAATAAAATAAAGTCATTACAAAAATGTGATGTTGATATTCAGTAGTAAAGTTCGACTTACGTCCATTTCGACTTATGACCGGTTTGTCGGAACCAAACTCGGTCGTAGTCGTAAGTCGGATGGTACCTGTATTGCACAAATGTGGCTAAAGCTCTCGCTTCACACACTGATGGTCCGGGTTCGATTTCTGGCGGGGTGGAAACATTTCAACGTGTTTCCTTACACCTGTTGTCCTATTCGCTTAGCAGCAAGTAGGTACCTGGGTATTAGCGGACTGGTGCGGGTTGCATCCTGGGGGACAAGATTGAGGAAACCCAATGGAAATAAGACAGACAGTCTTCGATGACGGGAATTTCTTGGGTTATCCTGAGTGGCTAACCCTCCGGGGTTAAAAATACGAAGAAAATCTTGTCTTATCTTATCTTATCCCCAAAATGAAAATGCATTCACCATCATTCATTCAATCACTGTTGCTTCTGATGAAGAAACTCAGCATTTCAATATATGCAGAGTGACAAACTTTTAAGATTCGATAGAAAATATAAACAATTGTAAAAATACGTACAATAAGGTTTGAATGTCCTAAGTAGAGTAAACCCTCCTTTAAATGGACATCCATTTAATGGACATAGGGAATATGAAACAAAATGCATTGGGTCAGTAAACTTGGAAATGATGTATGAAAGTCTTTTAGTCAAAGAATTGTTCATTACTGTTTCAATGACGGCAGTACAATCCGGTAATTGACATTACCAGTCACCTGATTCCCTAGTTAGTTTGTTAAATACAGAGTTCGCCATAGATTTAACGAAAAACTGATTATGAAATTCATTTCAGTTAATTTCAAGGAGGTATTTAGCTGTATTATTTAGCTGTATTATTTAGGCATTTTCTTTCTTAGCTTTGACTTGAATTCAGTTAGTATGTTATATTTTTAATTTGTCTTTTATGTTATACCACATTTTTGGCTCTTCAATTTGCATAACATTTCTGTAGAGTTTCAAATGAACACACGGAATGTTGAAAAGGTTACCTTAATTTAGGTTAGGTTATACAGTGGACCCCCGGTTTACGATCAGCTCCCAATGCGACCAATTATGTAAGTGTATTTATGTAAGTGCGTTTGTATGTGTATGTTTGGGGGTCTGAAATGGACTAATCTAATTCACAATATTCCTTATGGGAACAAATTCGGTCAGTACTGGCACCTGAACATACTTCTGGAATGAAATAATATCGTAAACCGGGGGTCCACTGTATTATGTTTCGTTAGGTTAGGTTACATTAGATTAGGTTAGGTTAGGTTACATTACATTAGGTTTGATTATGTTAGATTAGGTTAGGTTTCATTACGTTAGGTTACGTTTGGTTAGGTTAGATTAAGTTAGGTTGCATTAGGTTAGGTTACATTGTATAAGGTTACGATTGGTTAGGTTAGGTTACGTTTGGTTAGGTTAGGTAAGATTCGTCAGGAAACAGGACTGTTTCCTGGCACAGGTCTTAAGTCATATGATGACCCACAGCTGAAGCTGCTTTTGGCCATTGGACTGAGGCCTTCTACTGGCCTTGCCCTTTAAAAATTAAGATTATTTTTGTTTATTTCTCATGTAATGCCTTTGTGTTCTGTTATAGTGTTGTGTCTTAACACTTTCAGGGTTTCGGCTGTACTTTTACGGCTTACGCCCCAGGGTTTTTGACGTACTAGTACGCCTAAATTCTAGCGCCCTCAAATCTTGTGAGAGAAAGCTGGTAGGCCTACATATGAAAGAATGTGTCTATGTGGTCAGTGTGCACAGTATAAAAAAATCCTGCAGTACACAGTGCGTAATGAGAAAAAGAAAACTTTGACCGTTTTTTTGGATTAAAACAGGGACTTTGCACTGTATTTTCGTATGGTATTTATTGTTGTATTCTAGTTTTCCTGGTCTCATTTTATAGAATGGAAGACATATTACAGAAATTGAGATGATTTTGACTGGTTTTACAATGAAAAGTACCTTGAAATTGAGCTCAAAGTAGCAGAAATGCTCGATTTTTACCAAAGTTCAAAAGTAAACAAATCATGCTAAGCGTCCAATACATGTCAACTGGTGAGTCTAATATTCTTTCACAAGTGTACTGATATTATTTATATCATTTCTACACTAATGCAGTAGTCTGCATAACAGTAAATCTTCTATTTTTTTGCAAGAATAAAAATTCAAAGTGGAGAACCAAAGAAATATAAGAGGGGCCTGGGGATGTGACTAACGAACAGAGAACGTGTTATTTTAGTGCCAGGAATGTCTTTTTTTGTTTATTCTGGACCCTGTTTGAAAATTGGCATCTTTTGAAATTTGTGTGAAATTGGCAAAATTGCTAAATTCTGACCATTTTATTGGATAGTTGAAATCAGTAAATGGGTGGTTTTCTTGTACTCATTCGATAGAAAAAATGGAGTTCTAGCAAAATAGTTATGATTTTTGTCGACTAGTACACTGGAATTGGCCGAAAATAGGGCTCAAAGTGGGCAAAATCGCCGATGCGTAAACATCGTCGAGACCGCTAACTTCATGAGAGCATAATTCCCTAAGTTTCCTAAATTTCATACTTTGGTGCATTATGATCAGGAAAAGATTCTCTAGCTTTTCATAGAAAAAATAATTTTTTTTTTTTTAATTGGGGACCCTGAACAAGTCTCGGAGGGCCTGTCGACCTGAAAGGGTAAAAGTCTGATAGCTTTTAAATTTGTTGTTCTTGAATATGTAGAGCAAACAGTAGTAGAATAGCTTTAATATTTACATGGTTTTGGGACTTGAATCGGATAATGATTAGAGTTTAATGTTCTGATACTAGCTTTTGTGAGAGTGGGTTATGATAGTTCTGATACTACTTTTGTTGAGGATAGTGTTTTTATGTAGTTCTGATAGCTAGCTTTTGTTGAGGATGTGTTTTATGGTATTCTGATAGCTAGCTTTTGTTGAGGATGTGTTTTATGGTAGTTCTGATAGCTAGCTTTTGTTGAGGAGGTGGGTTTATGATAGTTCTGATAGCTAGCTTTTGTTGAGGATGTGTTTTTATGGTAGTTCTGATAGCTAGCTTTTGTTGAGGAGGTGGGTTTATGATAGTTCTGATAGCTAGCTTTTGTTGAGGATGTGTTTTTATGGTAGTTCTGATAGCTAGCTTTTGTTGAGGATGTGTTTTTATGGTAGTTCTGATAGCTAGCTTTTGTTGAGGAGGTGGGTTTATGATAGTTCTAATAGCTAGCTTTTGTTGAGGAGGTGGGTTTATGGTAGTTCTGATAGCTAGCTTTTGTTGAGGAGGTGGGTTTATGATAGTTCTGATAGCTAGCTTTTGTTGAGGATAGTTTATGCTAGCTTTGTTGAGGAGTGGTTTATAATAGTTCTGATAGGTAGCTTTTGTTGAGGATAGTTCTGATAGCTAGCTTTTGTTGAGGATAGTTCTGATAGCTAGCTTTTGTTGAGGAGGTGGGTTTATAATAGTTCTGATAGGTAGCTTTTGTTGAGGATAGTTCTGATAGCTAGCTTTTGTTGAGGAGGTGGGTTTATAATAGTTCTGATAGGTAGCTTTTGTTGAGGATAGTTCTGATAGCTAGCTTTTGTTGAGGAGGTGGGTTTATAATAGTTCTGATAGGTTAGCTTTTGTTGAGGATAGTTCTGATAGCTAGCTTTTGTTGATGAGGTGGGTTTATAATAGTTCTGATAGGTAGCTTTTGTTGAGGATAGTTCTGATAGTTAGCTTTTGTTGAGGAGGTGGGTTTATAATAGTTCTGATAGGTAGCTTTTGTTGAGGATAGTTCTGATAGCTAGCTTTTGTTGAGGAGGTGGGTTTATAATAGTTCTGATAGGTAGCTTTTGTTGAGGATAGTTCTGATAGCTAGCTTTTGTTGAGGAGGTGGGTTTATAATAGTTCTGATAGGTAGCGTTTGTCGAGAATGTGGGTTGATGATAGTTCTGATAGCTAGCTTTTGTTGAGGATAGTTTTGCTAGGTAGTAGGTTGGTAGACAGCAACCGCTCAGGGAGGTACTACCGTCCTGCCAAGTGAGTGTAAAACAAAAGCCTGTAATTGTTTTACATGATGGTAGGATTACTGGTGTCTTTTGTCTGTCTCATAAACATGCAAGATTTCAGGTATGTCTTGCTACTTCTACTTACACTTAGGTCACACTACACATACATGTACAAGCATATATATACACACCCCTCTGGGTTTTCTTCTGTTTTCTTTCTAGTTCTTGTTCTTGTTTATTTCCTCTTATCTCCATGGGGAAGTGGAACAGAATTCTTCCTCCGTAAGCCATGCATGTCGTAAGAGGCGACTAAAATGCCGGGAGCAAGGGGCTAGTAACCCCTTCTCCTGTATATACATCTACCATCCGACTTACGACCGAGTTCGGTTCCGAGAAACAGGTCGTAAGTCAAAATGGTCGTAAGTCGAACTTTACTACTGAATATCAACAAAACATTTTTGTAATGACTATTTTATTGTTTTATTTTGGTATTTCATGTTTTACTTTACTTTTTATGTTGTTAGTACTGTATTTTATACTGTAAGGTTTAGGATAAACACTGTGTACAACACAAATAGTTGTTTATTTCTCAGAAATTTGGCTTAAAAAACATGGTCGTAACTCCAGTGGTCGTAAGTCGAGCAGGTCGTAAGTCGGATGGTAGGTGTATTACTAAATTTGAAAGGAGAAGCTTTCGTTTTTCCTTTTGGGCCACCCCACCTCGGTGGGCCACCCCACCTCGGTGGGCCACCCTGCCTCGGTGGGCCACCCCACCTCGGTGGGATACGGCCAATATGTTGAAAGAAAGAAGTTCTGATAGGTAGCTTTTGTTGAGCAGGTGTTATGTAAAAAGTTTTGGCTTAATATTCCAGGATGAACTGAAACTCTCTAGATTTTCTTTATAAATTGTGGATGAGTTGTAAATTTTAGCAGTCATGATTTTGTGACATATTCTTTATAACTTGGGAGCTCAGCGTTTTTATTAGTATTTGTAACTTCATATATTTATTTAACGTATGTTGAAAACAGGAGTCAAGTGACAACTGCCAGTGGTACGCAGCTCGAGCATCGAAAGAGCCTCCGGAAGAACTACATATCCGGCCAACAGTTCCACGCGTCATTAACCAGAATGGTTATGTGTCAGAACTAGATCCTGGGAAAGGTGTCATTCTTTTTGACTTTTACGAAGAGGTATGTATGCATTTCTCCATGGGAAAGTGGAACAGAATTCTTCCACTGTAAGCCATGCATGTCATAAGAGGTGACTAAAATGCCAGGAGCAAGGGACTAGTAACCCCTTCTCCTGTATATATTACTAAATCTAAAAAGAGAAACTTTTTTTTTTTTTTTTAGGTCACCCTGTCTCAGTGGGATATGGCCAGTTCATTAAACAAAAAATGTATGCTTTAATCACTCCATTGTATCCGCCTAAGGTTAATCAAAGTTGTATGTCTTCTCTACAAGACTTACTAAAGCCATATAATATGACTTAATAGAATACTCAAGTCTCATGTATTCATTGTAACTCATCTAATGACCGTACGCACTGTTATTGCCTTATTAATCTTAAGTTAATTTTAAGTTTGCATATTAATCGCCTCTTATGACACGCATGGCTTACGGAGGAAGAATTCTGTTTTACTTCCCCTTGGAGAACAGTTTCTTACATCTTCACATCATCTGCAGCAAATGTGTGGATCGATCAGACTGTGATAGCTGAGTTACAGCCTGGTCAGCAAGAAAGTGTGGCTTCAGATCAGCCAGAGAGGTCAGAAGAATCCTTGAAAGTGATCACAGAATTTAAAATATATTTTTATAATGCTATGGTTTAATATGTGTCCCTTCATACGAGAATACAGTGGTACCTCAGTGTACGACAAGCTCCCAACTCGAACAGTTATGTAAGTGTATTTTTGTAAGTGCCTTTGTAGGTGTATTTTTGGGGTCTGAAATGGATTAATCTACTTTACATTATTCCTTATGGGAACAAATTCATTCGGTACTTGAACAGATAGCCACGCGAACAGCCTTCTGGAACAAATTAAGGTTGTATACCGAGGTACCACTGTATCTTGAGTGAGTTTCATTGCGATCGGTCAGTTAGTCTCCGTAAGATAAACGCAAGAACAGTCACCCCCACCCCCCCACCTCTTGAAAAACAATAAGCTCCTTGACCCACATGCTTAGAAAATAACATTTCTATAAATATTATGTATATAACATATTATTTATATAGCTGTGAATGGTTAGACATACAGTGGTACCTCGGGATATGAACTTATTTCCTTCCAGAAGGCTGTTCGACTGCCAATACCAAACGAATTTGTTCCCATAATGAATAATGTAAATTAGACTAATCCTTTTCAGACCCCCAAAAATATGCTTACAAAAGCTCTTACACTATGTAATTGTTCGCGTTTTGAGCTGTTTGTATCCCGAGGTACCACTGTATTTACAGAGGACCCTCGCCTAACGAACGCATCGCATAACGTTAAACTCACCTAACGATACATTTTAACGCTAACTTTTGCCTCGGCTAACGCTAAAAAACTCGCCTAACGATATTCGTTCTCGGGTACCAATTAATATCGTTAGGTGAGGGTCCACTGTATATAATTTTTTGGCGTTATTGATGTTTTGACACAGGACCTGGCCCTGTACTTCATGGCAGCACCAGTGGGCCTTATGAAAAAAATTTGTTTGTAGTTAGTGAAGAATAAGTCACAGTGCCATGACTAGACTTGTAGATAACCCATGGTTTGGAGAGAAAAGTTTGCATAACATTTAAGTCTGTGATGGACCAAAATCCTGTCAAAATTTTCACCTCTAAATTGTGGGTTGTGAATTATCAAATATTAATTCATCCATGGCTTGCAATGTTTCAGTTTCTCTGTAATGATACAATGACTGGAATTAAATTTCTGTTGTATCTACCAGAAGGTATTACAGCTCTTGGTAATTGGTAAGTGTTTTGTGAGATTTGGTACAGTAATGCCTTTTCATCTGCTGGTATTATTTTTATGACACATCAGCTGTTTTCCATCGAGGCCGGGTGACCTGAAAAAGAAAAAACTCTTTCCTCACTATTCACTCCATCACTGTTTTGCCAGAGGCATGCCGATACTACGGTTAAAAAACTGCAACATATCAACACCCCTCCATCAGAGTGCAGGCATTGTACTTCCCACCTCCAGGACTAAAATCTCCTTGATTCTCTTCATAAATGTTTCCTTACTCACACTCCAACAGCACATCAAGTCATAAAAACCACTAACCTTCACTCACTTCTAACACTCACACACACTTGCTGGAAGTCTAAACCCCTCACACACAAAACCTCCTTTACCCCTGTTGTTAATGTACAGTAGAACCCCAGTATCCACTGATTCGGTATCCACAGTTTCAGTTATCCACATTTACTGTGGCCCAAAAATACCTCTTAATTTGCATAATAATGGTCCCAAAGCACAAAAGTAGAGAAGTTGGCAGTTCTTTGAAGCCTAAGAGAAGCCATGAAACTTTCCATCAATGAAAAAGTGATAATTCAGCACTTACTGTGCATGATTTGTAATTAAACTTTATAATAGGTATGTATAGGACTTACATATAGGGTTCACTACTATCTGTGGTTTCGTTATCCACGGCAGGTCCTTGAAATGTATCCCCCGCTGATACGGGGGTCCGACTGTGCATGAAAAATACGAATTCTTCAGGTCGGGCACGGAGGATGGCAGCATGTCAGTCAGTGTTGCTGTGAATCAGTATACTAAGACTGTGATGGTACAATCTCAATGTTACTGTCATGGAAGAGAAGTCTCCACACAGTCACTTACTCGGTTTACGGGTAATGAGGATAAAGGCATTACCGCAGACACTCACAAAGGTTTAGTGCAATGCATACAATAATAATCTACAATCGGAGGACATCTTGTTCAAAAAATAGCAGACATTTATGCTGAAGAAGGAGATGCATGAGTGTTAAATCATCAGGGAAGAAATACAGACTTGTTTTTCTTGCCACGTTTTGGTTGGTATGTGTCTGATTTACAACCAGTCTTGTGACATAATAATAATAATAATAATAATAATAATAATAATAATCTTTATTTCTACAAGTACATGTACAAGGTATACAGGCCTAGCTGACTTCAGTGACATACTATATAGAAAGCCCTTGTTATGCAGAGCATTTTGGGCAAATTAGGTCAAATTTGTTCCCAGGATGCAACCCACAGCAGTTGGCTAACACCCATGTACCCACTTACTCCTAGGTAAACAGGGACAGCAGGTGTAAGGTGACTAACACCCAGGTACCTACTTACTGCTAGGTAAACAGGGACAGCAGGTGTAAGGTGACTAACACCCAGGTACCTACTTACTGCTAGATGAACAGGGACAGCAGGTATCTTAAGGAAATATGTCCTAATGTTTCCACCCATACCGGGGATCGAACCATGGACCTCAGTGTTTGAGATGAATGTGCTACCAACCCAGCTACAGGACACCTCCTCACATAAGATGCATATTAAGGGGTTTTCTATAAGCAGTATTATATGTCAGTCACACAAATTAAACAAATAACTGCATTCCTCACTGTAGAAATATAGTTTGTATCATAAGCCTACTCCCATCACTAGGCCTATTCACTGGCTCACCATCTGGTGTTGCTCCCAGCCTAACTGAAAGCCTATCTAGGGATCTCGTAAAAAAATTTTGTTAAACGGCATTCTTCTATGCTACGGGCCCCAGAGGCTCACAGTTTCCTCTACCCTTCATGGCTATTTTGTTGCAAATACCAGCCAGATTTCTTCAGACTTCCAGCTGATGCTAGTTGTTACTAACATCAAGTATGAGATGTAAGATAGATTTCTTCAGACTTCCAGCTGATGCTAGTTGTTACTAACATCAAGTATGAGATGTAAGATAGATTTCTTCAGACTTCCAGCTGATGCTAGTTGTTACTGACATCAAGTATGAGATGTAAGATAGATTTCTTCAGACTTCCAGCTGATGCTAGTTGTTACTAACATCAAGTATGAGATGTAAGATAGATTTCCTCAGGCTTCCAGCTGATGCTAGTTGTTACTAACATCAAGTATGAGATATAAGATAGATTCTGCTGGAGCCTGAGAAGTGAATACAGGTGGTCTTCGACTTATAATGGGGCCACATACCGACAAACCCACCGTAAATTGAAAATATCGTAAGTCGAATATGAAAGTGATAAATAAGTAAATAAACAAATAATTACTGTAACTAAATACCAGTATTAAAATTCAATAAATGAGTACAAGGTAGGGACTTGCAGCCTTCACGCTGGGTAATTATCTTAAGTCTCATCTCCAATGTAATTGCTTTTGTATCATCGTAAAGTTGAAATATCGTAAATCGTACCACTGTAAGTCGAGGAGCACCTGTGCTAGGTGGGTCCATCTCATGTACCAGGTGGGTCCATCTCATGTACCAGGTGGGTCCATCTCATGTACCAGGTGGGCCCATCTCATGTACCAGGTGGGTCTGTCTCATGTACCAGGTGGGTCCATCTCATATACCAGGTGGGTCTGTCTCATGTACCAGGTGGGTCCATTTCATGTACAAGGTGGGTTCATCTCATGTACCAGGTGGGTCCATCTCACGTACCAAATGTTTCCATCTCACATACCAGGTTGGTCCATCTCACTTACCAGGTTTGTCCATCTATAATACCAGGTGGGCCCCAAAGCTCCCAAGGCCCCAACACAGAAATACGCCTCAAAACAAAATGCTTCATTTTTAAATTCCCTAAAAAACTCTCCCTTTTTTTTTTTACCAGGAGCAGAGAGTATTCTTCATGAGATCCAAATTCTACCTTTTTGGAAAACGACCAGCAGGCAAGCGAAGTCTCAAAGAATTCCTCAGTGAAAACGACCCCCTCCAGTTTGACGCTGAGATGTGCGAGGCTAATGACGACAACTTCAACTGCACTTGGTTCGCCACCATCGTATGGAAGGGCAAGAAACCTCAGGGTATGTATACAGTAAATAACAAAAAGGCACAATACCGTGACTGGAACAATACACAAATAACCCGCACATAAAAGAGAGAAGCTTACGACGACGTTTCGGTCCGACTTGGACCATTGACAAAGTCACACTGACTTTGTCAGTGTGACTTTGTCAATGGTCCAAGTCGGACCAAAACGTCGTCGTAAGCTTCTCTCTTTTATGTGCGGGCTATTTGTGTATGTATACAGTAGGTTTGCAATGTAGCACATTGCAAACCTACTGCCCCCACATATCCCTCAGGCTGTGAGGGATATGTGGGGGCTTCAGACCACCACCAACAAAAGCCTGGTTGACCAGGATAGCACCAGATAATCCTGGCCCCATGGTCAGGCTCCAGGAGTAGAAAAACTCTCAAAACTCATCGAAGGTATATCAGAGGTACCTGGCTAGGTTAGGTTTCAGACTGCCACTGTAAAGTGAATATTGCATTAAAGCAAATCACAGCATTTTTTCCTACTCACCAGTGAATATAAAAGCCTAAAAACATATTTACACTATCATAAACGTAAGTAACCATTCTACAGAATTCATTACCTTTGTAACTTGTGAGCTCATTACCTTTGTACCTAGTTCAGCTATCAAAACTTTGGGGGCCCAGTCCCTGGACCCATTACGTACCTCTGTAATCTGTAAATACCTTTGTAACTTGTCATGATTGTGACCAGACTTACCTGGAGTTCATTACCTTTGTAAATTGTGAGTTCATTACCTTTGTAAATTGTGAGTTCATTACCTTTGTAAATTGTGAGTTCATTACCTTTGTAAATTGTGAGTTCATTACCTCTGTAACTTGCTCAGCTATCAAAACTTTGGAGTCCAGTCCCTGGACCAATTATGTACCTCTGTAATCTTTTGACTACCGCCCACAGGATGGGTATGGGGTGCATAATAAACATATTAAACTAACTAACTAACTAACACTATCATTTAAAGTGTACAGTGAACTAGGTCTAAAAAATGGAAGAGTAAAAATAATGTTTTTTATATTGACAAAAAGTATCTTAACCCTTTCAGGGTCCAGAGGCCAAATTTCAAAGTGCGCACCAGGGTCCAAGAATTTTAAAAAAAAAAAATTTATTTTTTCTTATGAAATGGTAGAGAATCTTTTTCTGAAGGTAATGAAATAAAAAGTACGAAATTTGATGGAAAATTGACAAAATTATGTTCGCGAATTTTGATGTGTCAGCGATATTTATGAATCGGCGATTTTGCCGACTTTGACTCCCATTTTAGGCCAATTACGTTATTCCAGTTGACCAAATTCTTAGCAATTTCACTAGTATTACTTCTGTTCTATCGATTGAGCACAAGAAATCGCCACCTCAACTGTTTCAACTACAAAATAAAGTGATGGGAAATTGGTAATTTGGCCAATTTAACACAAAGTTCAAAATATTCCAATTTCAAAATAGGGTCCAGAATAAACGATGCAGGTATTCCTGGCACTAAACTAACATTTCCTATGTTCATTAGTTACAATTTGAGGCTTTACAAATGAATTCCATTTTGATTTTTTATTCACATAATGAATTTTTATTCAAACCAAAAAATAGAAGATTTACTGTTATGCAATATTGTAATAATTGTATAAATATCATCACCATATTTGTGAATGTATATTAGACCCACCAGCTGATGTGTATTAGACATGTGAGGTCGTTTGTTTGCTCTTGAAAATCGGCAAAAATTTAACATTTCCGCTATTTTGAGCTCAGTTTCAAGCCATTTCCTGTGCTAAAACCAATCAAAACCGTCTCTATTTCTGTGAAATGTCTTCCATTCTATCAAATGAGACCAAGAAATCATAAATACAACTATAAAAAGCATACGAAAAAGCACTGCAAAGTCGCTGTTTTAATCGAAAATCATGGTCTCAGTTTTTTTCTCTCATTATATACTGTGTGCTGCAGGATTTGTTTTATGTGGTGCACACATACCACATAGATATATTCTCTCATATCTAGACCCAAATTTACCACTCACAGCTTATCAGAGTGAGCTGAGCTCATGGTGTAGATCTACAGTTTGGACCCTGAACGTAAAGCCGTAGATCTATGGCACGGACCCTGAGAGGGTTAAGAAGAATGCAAGGGCTGAAAATAGTAATCATGAATATAATAATAATAATAAGAATGAGAATACTATAATAATAAATTTATTTTAATAATTGAAAAGTGCTAAATTAGTGCTCTAAAGTGAGTATCTTATTATCGAAGTATGTCTGTACAGCATTTTTGTATTTTATTGTTGAAAGATTTTGCCTGAAAAACTGGCTTCTTTAATACAATAATGCATTCCTAATAATTGTTTGTTACTCAGGCGTTCAGAACTCAGAGCGTACGGTGTTCATCATTAGGATATGGCGTTCCTTGACTTACAATGGTTTTGACTTATGATATTTGACTTTACAATGGTGCAAAAGCATTTATGTACTTTTGAGATGAAACTTAAGATAATTACCCAGCATGAAGGTGGCAAATCCCTAACTTATATACATTTTTTACTTTTCAATACTGGTATGTATTTAGTTACAGTAATTATTTGTTTATTTACTTGTTCAATGATAGCAGTTATTTATTTAGCATATCGTATTCATATTCGACACGATATTTTCGACTTACGATGGGGTCGTCAGAATGTAACCCCATCGTAAGTCGAGGACCACCTGTATGCCAGTCCTCATCTCAAACCACAACCACAAAATAGGTCATCCATTGTGCTTTAGGGTATCCTTCAGCCTTCTAGTAATTGATTTACACATGGAGTACATTACCCGATGACTCATGGGTGACATCCTCCAGCCATGGGAACAGGCTGACACCCTTTCCCTAGTAGATCTTCCTTTATCACAGCCCAGGGGTTCTCAATGGGGAATCAAGTCTGGGGAATTTCCTGGCCAGTCACCGAAGAAGGGTACCTCAAGTCACATACAAATCTGTAATCATAAGCCAATCCTTCTTCTTCTTCTTCTGTTGGGTTTCAGGGCCACTGACAGCATACGCTTATCGAGCCCATAAGCCAATCCGTAATCCTTAAAACAAACTCGAGGTATGTCTGTACGACATTTGGGTATTTTATTGCCAAAACATTTCGTCTGTAAATAGGCTTCTTTAGGACAGTAAACAGATCTGTTTGTAACTTGATAAAGCCGACTGTGTGGGCAAAACATAATCAACACAGGATTACATTATCATGCACTTGTGTCTATTTTTCCAACAAGACTAATGTGTTGGCTGCTGATTTTTTGCATAAGAAAAAGTACAATGATCTGAGGCTTCTGTAAACACCTGTATGTAGAAGCTATGTTACATCAAGCACCCTTCATACTTGTGAAGGGTTCTTTATCTAAGCATTACATATACTGTTCCATTCCTTGGGCCAAACCTGATTGCCTAGTTTTTCCCAGGTGTTGTATAGGAATTAATAAGTTTTTTGCTTCACATGATAATAATTGCACCGAGCATTTTTCCCGTGGAGAATAAGTTGCGTTATTTTTCAATACAGAGTCTCCTCACTTAGCGATGTATTTGTTTATCGATGACTTGGACTTATGACGGGCCCTCTGACCAGTATACATACCTAAGTAATGTATGTTAGAGCTGATTTTTCTCTATTCTGTTTATTACAATATAGTACAGTACACTACTGTATATACATTTAAAAAAAAACTATAAATGTTATAAATGGTGCAAAGGTGACATTAAAACAATATAAAAAATGGTTGACACAAACCCACTACCATCATAGTATGCTCCTCGCTTAGCAACGAATTTGTTTACTGACGTGGTCTTAGGAACGCAGCTCCGTTGTGGCGAGAAGAGGCTGTGTATGTGCTTAAGAAGGTCACATACGGGAGGGCCCCTGCATATACTGAACCTTCTTTTCAGTGTTTCACATATTCGTTGGCTTCAAATTGAACCATTGTTCATTATGTTCCACCCACCAGTGATTGTCACTAGTGGTTGGAACAACGGCTTGGTTGAAAGCCAACAAAAACACGTATATTACAGTCATGCATATATTTTATATATAGAAGCTTCAGAACAGTGAACAGGAATTTTTTTTCAGTTAGTGGCATCAATGCACATATTGGTGTCATGACCACTGATGATGTGTCAGCTGATGACAGTGCCAGTAACGCCGGGGGTGTCAGCAGGGAGCTGCTCAGTGCCGACGAATTCCCCTCTTTAAGCAGACCTCCTGGACTACTAGACTATAGACACAGCTACAAGGTGATTTTTTTTTTGTTTTTGGTTCCTCTGTTCAAAATATGTTAATATGCTAGAATACTCATTTCCTATAATCATAAACCAACCCATAATCCTTAAAACAATTTAACTCAAGATATAGCTGTACGACATTTAGGTATTTTATTGCCAAAACATTGTCTGCAAGACAGGCTTCTTTAGAACACTAATATTTCCTGACAATTGTCCATTACTCAGGTGTTCGGAATTCAGAACCTACGGTGCTCGTCATTAATGCTGAATATAGCATATATTAATGTGTTCAATTCTCTCGAGTTCATTGTGATTCCTAAATTTATTGTTACAACTATACCTAGAGACTGTATATATTAGCATTCAATTAGTTATTGCCATATTAGTCTTAAGATAGGCATAAGTCTGCCTGAAATGCTGTGCATACTAAGGGGCTTTCTGCATGCACACCTAAATATTACCCATCCTGTATATACATTGTATCATGCTGAAATAATGAACCTAATTCTGTTCCTGCTTTTATTTATGTGGGTGATGGGAACAATAGTGATTTTTTTTTTACACAAATCAATTTTATAGCCTAAGAGCTGTTATCCTACCTTGGTTCATTTCCGAGCCCAGCCCTGTCTGAGGTATACTACCCATAACAGTTGGCTAACACCCAGATACCTACTTACTGCTAGGTGAACAGGGGCAGCAGGTACCCGTACCGGAGACCTGTGGTAACTTTGTCCTCTGTGTATGCAGTCAAACAACTGGGGCTGCCATGTTATATTTGATCAGAAAAATAGGACACACATTTTGGTAAAAGCTCCTAATTTGATAGAATCTTAGTTTGTGGTATATAAGACATCCCCCAGATACAGGGAGGGCCGGATTACCACATAGGCAAACTAGGCATTTGCCTAGGGCCCCGCGCATTTGGGGGCCCCGCGGTCCAAGGGGTTCAGGGGCTCATCCAAGACTGCGCACATGGTGCAAGTGCAAAGGGGTCCCTACCTAAAAAGTTCAAGTGTTTGGAGAGTAAAATTGATTTTTAAAAATTAATCAAAACAAAAATAAATAATGAAATAAAATAAAATAAAAATAAATAAACCTAACCATAGATGGCAACACTCAACACGCCTTTGTTTACATCAGAACAGCTGTGTTTTCCCGCTAATGGGTGAGCATGGGAGATTCCTCTCCAATTTTCAGTAGTTTATATGATTTGATAGTCTTATGCATGATGCAATGATAACAATAATGGTCAGTGATTTATAAAGGGAATAATAGTGCTGTAGTGGTTATGCTGAATATAATAGGTACATGATGTCACTACTTTAATAGCCTAATCTAGTAATACTATGCTGTCTTGAGTTTATTCTCTTTAAAATGCATGATTTAACAAGATAGTTATAATGGCTGTTGGTAAATGGTTTTGGTTGTCTTGATGTACTTTCCCTATTAAATTTAATCTAATTAGCCAGAATGTATTTAATTAAACCTTAAACAGGCTCACACCGACCCCCCCCCCTCCACCTCCAAGCTGGAAGGGGTCGCTTCGCTTACCCGTAACTCAAAGGGGCCCCGCCAATCTGAATAGCCTAGGGCCCGTAGACTTCTTAATCCGGCCCTGGATACAGGTGTGTGATGTAAGAGCTATGACCCACTAAGAACTCTGACCTAAGAACTATGACTAAGAACTATGACCTATTTAGATCTATGACCTGACTAAGAACTATGACCTGACTAAGAACTATGACCTGACTAAGCACTATGACCTACTTAGAACTATGACCTGACTAAGCACTATGACCTACTTAGAACTATGACCTAAAACTATGACCTGACTAAGAATTATGACCTAAGAACTATGACCTGACTAAAAAATGTGACCTACTTAGAACTATAACCTCTCCAGGTATGACCTGACTGAGAACTATGACCTGACTTAAGAACTGTGACCTAAGAACTAAGACCTAAGAACTAATGCTTCCTATAGGTTCCTGTAGGACTATAGGTGCTTTGTATAACCTCAGCAGCCTGTGGATGGCCCTTCACATTAATACAAGGAACAATAGCATTCTTGAGCAAATTAAAAAATTAAGAGTTACTTACATTGTGGATTTGTAATACAACAACCAAATAAAAAATTATTTTCAGAATGTACATTATTTCAGGTACAACATCGATTTTCCGGAACCTTTGGTTCCAGAGCCTTTCCGGATTACTGATTTTTCCACCTTTAGAGAGCGCAGTATTCCTTGATCTTGGGGTTGCATAAGTGACATACAGCTTGGTGGTAAATACACTGCCATGGAAATTTCAAGTTCCTGCTCGTAGATTTGTATGGATTATAAGAGGTTCTGGACCATGAGTGTCCGGTAAATCGATGTTGTACCTGTATTACATAATTATGACATTTATTTCATACAGTTTGAAAAGCCCCTGCTTATCAAGAGCATTTTTGACAGACTAAAACTGGAGCCTGGAGTTGCAGTCTAGTCACATAGCTACTTTATATAGGGCAGCTTTACATAAATGCAAATGTTAAAGCGTGTCGGAAATTGAATAATACACACTATGAAGGCTTTTTGATGAGCTAATTAATCTTAGATACACTTTTTCAATTGCATTTATAAGAAATTGAACTATACATATTGGCAAATCTTGTGGTTTTCTGGCCAGTGGACATATCATTAGAGGTCACCTCTGGATCCAAGACTGGTGACTGAAGGTGTATTGCATAGCTCTGTGTTCTTGCTGACTCACTCTCTCCCATTACTAGTTGAATGCTACTATGAGTTGAATGCTACTAGTCGAATGCTACTAGTCGAATGCTACTAGTTGAATGCTACTAGTTGAATGCTACGATGAGTTGAATGCTACTAGTTGAATGCTACTAGTTCCTCTGGCACTTGACTGCACGTGATATTGAATAGCTGAAGTTAGATTATTTGAATGCTAAGTTTAATTAAGTTGTCCATAGGTAAGAAATATTTATGTAATTTTTGTAGCTATAAGTGTTATATTTAAGATAACTCATCACTGCATCCACCTACCATTACATTATTATTATTACTTTTTACAGTTTTGAGACGTGAAACTCAAATTCGTTGGGCTATTTTCTGGGTATAAGAAACCTAACCTTATTTTCTCATATATTCTTCAGTCATTTTACATGATTTTTGTTTGCACGCCATTTTCGAGAATGTAACTTCCGTATTAACCCTTTCAGGGTCCTGACCCTTGATCTAAAACTTGTCCATAAGGTCCAAGAATTTAAAAAAAAAATTATGTTTTTTTTATTATGAAATGGTAGAGAATCTTTTTCTGAAGGTAATAAAACAAAAAAATTGAAATTTGATGGGAAATTGACAAAATTACGCTATCACGAATTTTGCTGCATCAGTGATATTTATGCATCGGCAATTTTGCCCACTTTGAGTCTTATTTTACGCCAATTACATTATTCCAGTCGACCAAATTCTTAGCTATTTCATTTGTATCACTTCTATATTATTGACTGAGCACAAGAAACTGCCCAGTCAACTATTTCAACTACCCAATAAAGTGATCAGTAATTGGTAATTTGGCCAATTTCACACAAATTTCAATATATTCCAGTTTCAAACTTGGGCCTAGAATAAACAATGCAGACATTCCTGGCACTAAAATAACATTTCCGATGTTTATTAGTTACGTTTTTCAGGCTTTGCACATGAATTTCATTTTGATTTTTTTTATTCACATAAAAAAATTTATTCACACCAAAAAAAAACAGAAGATTTGCAGTTATGCAATATTGTAATAATTGTATAAATAATATCAGTGTATTCATAAATGTATATTAAACCCATCAGTTGACACGTATTGGATGTGTATTGAACATCGCAAAAATCAAACATTTCCACTGCTTTGAGCTCAATTTCAAGCTATTTTCAGTACTAAAACTAATCGAAATCATCTCTGTGTCTGTAATATATATTTCATTCTATCAATTAACCCTTTGACTGTCGCGGCCGTATATATACGTCTTACGAGGTACCGTGTTTGACGTATATATACTCATAAATTCTAGCGGCTTCAAATCAAGCAGGAGAAAGCTGGTAGGCCCACATGTGAGAGAATGGGTCTGTGTGATCAGTGTGCACCATATAAAAAAAATCCTGGAGCATGCAGTGCATAATGGGAAAAAAAAAACTCCGACCGTTTTCTTTAATTAAAATGCCGACTTTGTGGTCTATTTTCGTATAGTATTTATGGTTGTATTCTCGTTTTCTTGGTCTCATTTGATAGAATGGAAAACATATTATAGAAATAGGGTGATTTTGATTGATTTTACTATAAAAAGACCTGAAATGGAGCTCAAAGTAGGGGAAATGTTTGATTTTTGCCAATGTTCAAAAGTAAACAAATGATGCCATTGTCCAATAAATGTCCAACTAGCCATTCTAATATGCAGCCATAATGGGTTGATGTTATTTATACAATTATTACAGTATTGCAGTAGTCTGCATAATAGTAAGTCTTCTAGTTTTTTGTTTGAATAAAAATTCAAAATAGAAAGCAAGAGTAATATCAGAGGGCCTGGAGACATGACTGATGAACAAAGAAAATGTTATTTTAGAGCCAGGAATGTCTGCATTGTTCATTCTGGACCTTATTTTGAAATTGTCATATTTTTTAGTTTTCGTGAAATTGGCCTAATTGCAAATTTCTGACCACATTATTAGGTAGTTGAAATCGGTAAATGGGCAGTTTCTTGTACTCAATCGATAGAAAAAATGGAGTTCTAAAGAAATAGCTATGAGTTTGGTCGACTGGAACAATGGAATTAGCCGAAAATAGGGCTCAAATGGGCGAAATCGCCGATTTGTAAACAGTGCCGAGGTCGCTAGCTTCGCGAGAGTGTAATTCCATCAGTTTTCCATCAAATTTCGTTTTTTTGGTGTCATTACAATCGGGAAAACATTCTCTATCATTTCATAAGAAAAATAATTTTTTTTTTTAAATTTTGCGACACCAGGAGACACCTCAGGATTGGGGGTTGCGACAGTCAAAGGGTTAAGACCAAAAAACCGCAAATACAGCTGTAAAAACCATACAAAAATACTCTGCAAATTTGCTGTTTTAATCCAAAAACACGGTCACAGTTTTTATTCTCATAATGCACTGTATGCTGCAGGATTTGTTTTATATGGTGCACACTTACCACATAGATGCATTCTCTCATATCTAGGCTCAAATTTACCGCTCACAGCTTATCTGAGTGAGCTGAGCTCACGGCATAGTACTACGGCATGGACCCTGGCTTCAGAGTCATAGAACTACGGGACGAACCCTCAAGGAGTTAATGGTCAACCGTATGTGATGGACCACTCGTATTTCACTCTTATTTCTTTTTTTCTTTCATGACTGATCAACACAGCTCAAAAGACAATAGCTTTGTCCTTCCCAATCCATATCCAGTTAAACCAGTCAGTATTTCTTATGTCAGCTGGATTAGTGTTGCACCTCTCTACTTGTCTCCCTTTTGGAAAAGTAGCTAGAATGTTAGTGCTGGTGAAAGATTTCTTCATTTCGTTCACTCTGCCATCGTTAGAAATGGCCGGCGAGGTAGGGGAAAATTACATGCTATTAGTTGCTGATCATAAAGTGTTGTCTGTAAAGGCTTCTCCGCAATAGGCTGTATGCAACTTATTGACAAGGTGACATACTGTCACCTTCGTTTGTCTTTCTCTCTCACTAATACAACTCTGGTCTGACTATTTGAATTATTCCATTCCACATGTCACAGTCATTGGAGTGCATCATATTATTATTTTTTATTAACACATGAGCCATCTCCCACCAAGGCAGGGTGGCCCAAAAAAGAAAAACTCTCACCATCATTCACTCCATCACTGTCTTGCCAGAGACATGCTTACACCACAGTTATAAAACTGCAACATTAACACCCTCCTTCAGAGTGCAGACACTGTACTTCCCATCTCCAGGACTCAAGTCTGGCCTGCCGGTTTCCCTGAATCCCTTCATAAATGTTACTTTGCTCACATTCCAACAGCACGTCAAGTATAAAAACCATTTGTCACCATTTGCTCCTATCTAACATGTTCACTCATGCCTGCTGGAAGTTTAAGCACACAAAACCTCCTTTACCCCCCCCCCTCCCTCCAACCTTTTCTACGCCAATCCCCTACCCTGCCTTCCCTCCGCTACAGATTTATACTCTTGAAGTCATTCTATTTCATTCCATCCTCTCTGCATGTCCGAACCACCTCAACAGCCCTTCCTCAGCCCTCTGAATAATAGTTATGGTAATCCTGCACCTCCTAATCTTAAAACTACGGATTCTGTGCATTATATTCACTCCACACATTGCCTTCAAACATGACATCTCCACTGCCTCCAGCCTCCTTGTCGCAACATTCACCACTCATGCTTCACATCCATACAAGAGCGTTGGTATAACTATACTCTCATACATTCCCCTCTTTGCTTTCATGGATAAAGTTCTTTGTCTCTACAGACTCCTCAGTGCACCATTCACCTTTTACCCCTTGTCAATTCTATGATTCACCTAATTTTTCACAGACCTATCTGCTGACATGTCCACTCTCAAATATCTGAATACATTCACCTCCTCCATACTCTCTCCCTCCAGTCTGATATCCAGTCTTTCGTTTCCTACTTTTTTTTATCCTCGTCACCTTACTTTTTCATATATTCATTTTTAATTTCCTTCTTTTACACACCCTACCAAACTCATCCACCAACCTCTGCAACTTCTCTTCAGAATCTCCCAAAAGTAGTGTCATCAGCAAACAGCAACTGTGATAACTCCCATTTGTGTTATATTCTTTATCTTTTAACTCCACACCTCTTGCCAAGACCCCTCACATTTACTTCTCTTACAACCCCATCTATAAATATATTAAACAACCACGGTGACATCACACATCCTTGTCTAAGGCCTACTTTTACTGGGAAATAATCTCCCTCTCTCCTACATACTCTAACCTGAACCTCACTATCCTTGTAAAAACTCTTTCACTGCTTTCAGTAACTTACTTCTTATTCCATACATTTGCAACATCTGCCACATTGCCCCCCTATCCACGCTATCATATGACTTTCCAAATCCATGCCACAAAAATCTCTTTATCCTTATCTAAATACTGTTCTCCTATATGTTTCACTGTAAACACTTGGTCTACACACCACTTACTCTTCTCCTATCCTACTCTCCATCTTACTCTTAATTCTTTCAATAATAATTCTACCATACACTTTACCAGGTATACTTAACAGACTTATTCCCCTATAATTTTTACACTTTCTTTTGTCACCTTTGCCTTTCTACAAAGGAACTATGCATGCTCTCTACCAATCCCTAGGTACCTTACCCTCTTCCATACATTTATTAAATAATTGCACTAACCACTCCAAAACTATATCCCCACCTGCTTTTAACATTTCTATCTTTATCCCATCAATCCTGGCTGCCTTACCCCCTTTTATTCTACCTACTGCCTCACACACTTTAACCACACTCACAACTGGCTCTTCCTCACTCCTACAAGATGTTATTCCTCCTTGCCCTATACACGAAATCACAGCTTTCCTATCTTCATCAACATTTGACAGTTCCTCAAAATATTCCCTCCATCCTCCCAATGCCTCCAACTCTCGACTTAATAACTCTCCTCTCCTGTTTTAACTGTCAAATCCATTTGTTCCCTAGGCTCACTCCAAAACTTTGTCTTATTTTCAACAAAATTTGTTGATAACATCACACCCACTCTCTCATTTGCTCTCTTTTTACATTGCTTCACCACTCTCTTAACCTCTCTCTTTTTCTCTCCATCTACTCCTCCCTCCTTGAATCAATTTTACTTTGTAAGAACTTCTCATATGCTAACTTTTTCTCCCTTACTACTCTCTTTACATCATCATTCCAGCAATCGCTCTTCTTCCCTCCCGCACCCACTTTCCTGTAGCCACAAACTTCTGCTGAACACTCCTACATTTTTTTAGTCACTCCTCTTTCTATTGACTTACTCTATTCACATTAAGATAAAACAATATGGTGTGTTCTCTTGCAGACATTTGAGGTCAACGGCACTATCCGCGAGGGTAAAGGGAATGTTCTGAAGCTCTTCAACGAAGAGTGCGGCATCGCCTTGTGGATGATACACCGTAATACCTGGGAAACTGTCTTTTTTCATCGCAAGAACTCGTACCTTGATAGTGTGTCGCTAAGTAGCTTTGATCTCCAAGAATCTTTCTCAGAAGGTTAGTACATCTTCTGCAATAGGAAATTGTGTGAAGACTTGACATCACTTGAGTGTTTGTTGGTATAAGGAGGAGGAATACTGCAGCAGGCCTACTGGCCCGTATTAGGCAAGTCTTTCTCAGACCCAAATGCACTAACAAAATTATTTGCCCAACCCATTTTCTGTTACCCAAGGAATAATTTTTGATAGCCCTGTTAAATTACATGCAACTCCCACTGAGATCTAACCCCTCTCACTCATGTTGGACAAGTATGTGGGTGACAAAATATTCGAGTGGTTGCCAGTACATGAAACTATAACAGATATTTTTTTTTTAACCCTTAAACTGTCCAAACGTAGATCTACATTTGCACCGCTAGCACTCCGAACACAGATCTACGTTTTATTTTACATGCTTTCAAATGTAAGAATAAAAGCAGATCAACGTTTGGAGCGCTAGCGGTGCAAACGCAGATCTACATTTGGACAGTTTAAAGGTTAAAGCTGAATGACTTAGCTCTACCAGGAAATAAATATATTATTGTTATTATGATCAAAATGAAGTGCTAAACCCACTAGGGTCATTCAGCGCTGCCCCTGGAAATATAAACGTCACTCAGTTTCTATAGGATACTTACAACTCTTACCGCTATAGCAGTAACCAAATGACCAAATTACATGAATACCTGGAGAGTGAGGCACTAGGCTTAGGTCAAGGCCTGTGAGTAGCTTTTTTGGCTTCCAAGTTGCTGGGTAATTTTTTTAAGATTTTTAGGGGAAGAAAAGAAAAACAATATCCTCGATACCACAATACAGCCTCTCCTCACTTAGCAATGTACTCGTTTATCGATGACTCAGACTTACACACGACGGGCTCTCTCACCAGTATGCATACCAAAACAATGTATATTATGGGTATTAACCCTTAAATGGTCCAAACGTATATATACGATTTTTTTCAACATTTGAAAGTATGTAAAAAAATGTAGATCTTTTTTTTTTTTTACATTTGAAAACTTGTAAAAAACTTCGATTTACATTTTTTTTTTTGTTATATTTGAAAATATGTATTATTATTATTATAATCAAAAAGATTGAAAATGTGTAAAAAAAAAAAAAAAACGTAGATATACTTTTGGAGCACTACGGATTTGAACGTCGATCTGTTTGGACCGTTTAAGGGTTAATAAAGGAGATATAAATAAGGTCTTGAGGATATCTCTCCAAGAGAGAACCCTCAGTAATGGATTCAAATTAGACAAGTTTAGATTTAGAAAGGATATAGGAAAGTATTGGTTTGGAAATAGGGTAGTTGATGAGTGGAATAGTCTCCCTAGTTGGGTTATTGAGGCTAAAACCTTAGGTAGTTTCAAATTTAGGTTGGATAAATACAAGAGTGAGAGGGGTTGAATTTGAGTCGGGTTTGCACCTGAGCTTATTGCTTGGGTAGCATTTCTTCTGTACAAGAATGGTATACAATACCGATAAGATAAAGATACCCAGATGTTGCACATGTGTCTTAATTTCAGCATTTGTTCTGTTAATGGGTTGGATTTGTGAAGGACTTGCCTAGTGTGGGCCGGCAGGCCTGTTGCAGTGTTCCTCCTTTCTTATGTTCTAGAGCTGATTTTCTCTATTCTATACAATACACTGCTGTATAAACATTTAAAAATACATATACTATGTTATAAATGGTGCGAAGATGACATTAAAACAATACCAAAGATGGTTGACACAAACCCACCACCATTATAGTATGCTCCTTGCTTAGTAACAAATTTTTATACTGACGTGGTTTTAAGAACGAAACTCTGTCGTTAAGTGAGGGGAGGCTGTATTTTTATACATTATCATCATATGGAATGCTAATTATTATTATTATAATCAAGGGGGAAGCGCTAAACCCGGAGGATTATACAGCGCCTGGGGGGGGGGGATGTGGAAGGCATTCAGGCTTAATTCGGGGAACTGGAGCACAGATCCAATTCCCTAAATCAAGAGCCCCTCACCAACATCAAGGAACCTTCCTTGAGGGGCAAGAGCCCCTCACCAACATCAAGGAACCTTCCATGAAGGGGAAAGAGCCCCTCACCAACATCAAGGAACCTTCCATGAGGGGCAAGAGCCCCTCACCAACATCAAGGAACCTTCCTTGAGGGGATGGAATGCTAAACCTGTACAGATTATACAGCGCCTGTTGGGGAGAGGATGGAAGGTGTTCAGGCTTAATTCAAAGAATTAGAGCATAAATCCAATTCCCTACATCAAGATTTATTATAATTATAATCATGGAAGTGAGTGTGCTAAACCCATAGGGATTATACAGCACCTGTGGGGGGGGGATGGAAGGCATTCAGGCTCAGTTCAGGAAACTGGAGCACAGATCCAATTCACCTAAGAGTCAAGAACGCTCACCGAAATTAAGGAACCTTCCTTCAGGGGGCCCTACATCAAGAGTCCCACGGCAGCCTTCATGCCATAAAATATGGTACATGGGAAATTATATCAACTAAATTACGAGTCTGCTTATTTAACACTGACAAGAGTTTATTTAGAAAATACAGTGGACCCCCGCATAACGATCACCTCCGAATGCGACCAATTATGTAAGTGTATTTATGTAAGTGCGTTTGTACGTGTATGTTTGGGGGTCCGAAATGGACTAATCTACTTCACAATATTCCTTATGGGAACAAATTCGGTCAGTACTGGCACCTGAACATACTTACGGAGTGAAAAAATATCGTTAACCGGGGGTCCACTGTATTCAGGTTGAAAATTTCTTGCGAATTGTAAATTTTAACTGATGTTTCATCTTTCAGGAACATCCTTAGACATCTCGGCAGTTCCAGCTATTCCTGAGTTTCCATGCCGGTGGATAGCACACAAGGCCATTGCAAGATGTTGACGATTCTTTCCATAGCAACATTAAACTATTATTTATATGTTGGATCGTTAAAATTCCTGTTTATTTTTTGATTAATGAAAGCATGTAATGAATCAGTATAAAACATTACTCTTGAGAACCTAGTAGACTGACCACAGAACAGGTAGAGTTTGAACCCATGGCAAGTGAGTCCACAGATTTAAACCCCACCCTTTCCATGGTTCATTTGCAATCGTGTTATTACGATTTAGCAAGTCACAATAGACCAACCTAGGGAGGTGCAACCATAAAAAGGAGTTATATACATGGGAAAGCACTAAACCTGGGGAATGGGTTAATGAAGCTTCTGGTCAAAAGATATTCCCCATGATGAAGTTACTCAGCATTACATGAATGTTTCTGTTATTGTATTATTACTCTAAAACCAATCAGTAAACCCATAAGGGTCATACAGTGCTGCAGGGCAAGATGTGCTTTTTTGATTAGAAACTATTGAGGTCAGAGACGATAACAGAGGTAGAGTTAGAAAGGGCTGTGACGAGTGCTAAAGGAAATACAGTGGAACCTTGGTATACGACCAGCTCCCTACTTGAACAAAGCTCAGCACTCGACCAAACAAATACGGCCTGCCAGAACTCCATTATAAACTATTTCATGTTTCTTCACATTTTTTTTTTTATTCTTTGTATAAATAAGTCACCATGGGGCCTATGACAATTAGTGATAACAGCTAACCAAACAAAATTGGTTGGGAAGAACCTGCTCGATACTCAAACGGAGCAGCTCTCGAACACCCTTCTGGAATGAATTAAGGTCACATACCAAGGTTCCACTGTATCAAATTTGTAATAATTCCGTTGCCGTCAAAAATTCAAAGAGGGAGTCTGCGATAAAGGTAGGGCCGTTACTTTATTATATTGCTTGTAGGATAAAAAAAAAAATTTCTTCCCTCGTCCCATTAACCTTTGTATACAGTTTTAGTTATGACACATTTCTAGTAAGGGCAAAGTTGCATATTGTGGGTTCCTGGACATGCAACATGCAGACTTAGCCAATCAGCTATTCAGGACCTCTCAAATTTCCCATAGGGTTATTTCATACCCTGACCATTTTTTCAGTGCAGGCAGCAATGTTGGTCCACACTGAACCACAACAAATTGTTTTGGCAAACCACATTTACAATTCTAGTGATCTTTTTCTCAGCATTGTTGAATTTGGGAGACTGCACTCTCATGATTATGTATTGGACACGTATGAGTCACGGTTAGGTGTTGAAACTGTTGCGCGTGGACTGCCAAGCCGCACTGTTTGTTCAACATATCTTAAATGATTGTCCTATCATTGAATGTCCAATTTTAACACACATTCAGACTTTTGAACTGAAACTAACCTGTTGCATCAAATTAGATTTTAATTTTACTCTTGCACTACGATTATTATAATCATAACTAAACGCTGAACCCACAAGGTACTCTCGCACTGACCTCTACCTCCACTAGCCCTTAGCTTCACATACCTTTATCCCCCCACTCTTAACCTTTTCAGGGTTTCAGCCGTACTAGTACGGCTTACGAGCCAGGGTTTTTGACGTACTAGTACGCCTAAATTCTAGCGCCCTCAAATCTAGTGAGAGAAAGCTGGTAGGCCTACATATGAAAGAATGGGTCTATGTGGTCAGTGTGCGCAGTATAAAAAAAATCCTGCAGCACACAGTGCGTAATGAGAAAAAAACTTTGACCGTTTTTTTGGATTAAAACAGAGATTTTGCGCTGTATTTTTGTTATTTATTTTTTTTTTTTTTATTATCACACCGGCCGATTCCCACCAAGGCAGGGTGGCCCGAAAAAGAAAAACTTTCACCATCATTCACTCCATCACTGTCTTGCCAGAAGGGTGCTTTACACTACAGTTTTTAAACTGCAACATTAACAAACCCCTCCTTCAGAGTGCAGGCACTGTACTTCCCATCTCCAGGACTCAAGTCCGGCCTGCCGGTTTCCCTGAATCCCTTCATAAATGTTACTTTGCTCACACTCCAACAGCACGTCAAGTATTAAAAACCATTTGTCTCCATTCACTCCTATCAAACACGCTCACGCATGCCTGCTGGAAGTCCAAGCCCCTCGCACACAAAACCTCCTTTACCCCCTCCCTCCAACCCTTCCTAGGCCGACCCCTACCCCGCCTTCCTTCCACTACAGACTGATACACTCTTGAAGTCATTCTGTTTCGCTCCATTCCTCTACATGTCCGAACCACCTCAACAACCCTTCCTCAGCCCTCTGGACAACAGTTTTGGTAATCCCGCACCTCCTCCTAACTTCCAAACTACGAATTCTCTGCATTATATTCACACCACACATTGCCCTCAGACATGACATCTCCACTGCCTCCAGCCTTCTCCTCGCTGCAACATTCATCACCCACGCTTCACACCCATATAAGAGCGTTGGTAAAACTATACTCTCATACATTCCCCTCTTTGCCTCCAAGGACAAAGTTCTTTGTCTCCACAGACTCCTAAGTGCACCACTCACTCTTTTTCCCTCATCAATTCTATGATTCACCTCATCTTTCATAGACCCATCCGCTGACACGTCCACTCCCAAATATCTGAATACATTCACCTCCTCCATACTCTCTCCCTCCAATCTGATATTCAATCTTTCATCACCTAATCTTTTTGTTATCCTCATAACCTTACTCTTTCCTGTATTCACCTTTAATTTTCTTCTTTTGCACACCCTACCAAATTCATCCACCAATCTCTGCAACTTCTCTTCAGAATCTCCCAAGAGCACAGTGTCATCAGCAAAGAGCAGCTGTGACAACTCCCACTTTGTGTGTGATTCTTTATCTTTTAACTCCACGCCTCTTGCCAAGACCCTCGCATTTACTTCTCTTACAACCCCATCTATAAATATATTAAACAACCACGGTGACATCACACATCCTTGTCTAAGGCCTACTTTTACTGGGAAAAAATTTCCTTCTTTCCTACATACTCTAACTTGAGCCTCACTATCCTCGTAAAAACTCTTCACTGCTTTCAGTAACCTACCTCCTACACCATACACTTGCAACATCTGCCACATTGCCCCCCTATCCACCCTGTCATATGCCTTTTCCAAATCCATAAATGCCACAAAGACCTCTTTAGCCTTATCTAAATACTGTTCACTTATATGTTTCACTGTAAACACCTGGTCCACACACCCCCTACCTTTCCTAAAGCCTCCTTGTTATCTGCTATCCTATTCTCCGTCTTACTCTTAATTCTTTCAATTATAACTCTACCATACACTTTACCAGGTACACTCAACAGACTTATCCCCCTATAATTTTTGCACTCTCTTTTATCCCCTTTGCCTTTATACAAAGGAACTATGCATGCTCTCTGCCAATCCCTAGGTACCTTACCCTCTTCCATACATTTATTAAATAATTGCACCAACCACTCCAAAACTATATCCCCACCTGCTTTTAACATTTCTATCTTTATCCCATCAATCCCGGCTGCCTTACCCCCTTTCATTTTGCCTACTGCCTCACGAATTTCCCCCCACACTCACAACTGGCTCTTCCTCACTCCTACAAGATGTTATTCCTCCTTGCCCTATACACGAAATCACAGCTTCCCTATCTTCATCAACATTTAACAATTCCTCAAATATTCCTTCCATCTTCCCAATACCTCTAACTCTCCATTTAATAACTCTCCTCTCCTATTTTTAACTGACAAATCCATTTGTTCTCTAGGCTTTCTTAACTTGTTAATCTCACTCCAAAACTTTTTCTTATTTTCAACAAAATTTGTTGATAACATCTCACCCACTCTCTCATTTGCTCTCTTTTTACATTGCTTCACCACTCTCTTAACTTCTCTCTTTTTCTCCATATACTCTTCCCTCCTTGCATCACTTCTACTTTGTAAAAACTTCTCATATGCTAACTTTTTCTCCCTTACTACTCTCTTTACATCATCATTCCACCAATCGCTCCTCTTCCCTCCTGCACCCACTTTCCTGTAACCACAAACTTCTGCTGAACACTCTAACACTACATTTTTAAACCTACCCCATACCTCTTCGACCCCATTGCCTATGCTCTCATTAGCCCATCTATCCTCCAATAGCTGTTTATATCTTACCCTAACTGCCTCCTCTTTTAGTTTATAAACCTTCACCTCTCTCTTCCCTGATGCTTCTATTCTCCTTGTATCCCATCTACCTTTTACTCTCAGTGTAGCTACAACTAGAAAGTGATCTGATATATCTGTGGCCCCTCTATAAACATGTACATCCTGAAGTCTACTCAACAGTCTTTTATCTACCAATACATAATCCAACAAACTACTGTCATGGTATTTATTGTTGTATTCTAGTTTTCCTGGTCTCATTTTATAGAATGGAAGACATATTACAGAAATTGAGATGATTTTGACTGGTTTTCCGAAGAAAAGTACCTTGAAATTGAGCTCAAAGTAGCAGAAATGTTCGATTTTTGCCAAAGTTCAAAAGTAAACAAATCATGCCAAGCGTCCAATACACATCAACTGGTGAGTCTAATATTCTTTCACAAGTACGCTGATATTATTTATACCATTTCTACACTAATGCAGTAGTCTGCATAACGTAAATCTTCTATTTTTTTGTGAGAATAAAAATTCAAAGTGGAAAGCAAAAGAATGTAAGAGGGGCCTGGGGACCTGACTAATGAACATAGGAAATGATATTTTGGTGCCAGGAATGTCTTTCTTGTTTATTCTGAATCCTATTCGGAAATTGGCATCTTTTGAAATTTGTGCTTAATTGGCAAAATTGCTAAATTCTGACCACTGTATTGGATAGTTGAAATGGGTGGTTTCTTGTACTCATTCGATAGAAAAAAATGGAGTTCTAGCGAAATGCACCTACCATCCGACTTACGACCACTCAACTTACGACCATGTTTATTATGCCAAATTTCTGGGAAATAAACAACTATTTGTATTGTACACAGTGTTTATCCTAAACCTTACAGTATAAAATACAATACTAACAACATAAAAAGTAAAGT